TAGGATAAACCACCACCAGCTGTCTCTCTAATGAGAGAGAAGCCCTGTGGTCCTCCAGGACTATGGCGATTTTACCTTTACTGGGATATCCTCGGACTGACCAGCACCCCTGGCATCAGCACCAGACGAGCACTGTCAGTTAGCATCCAATTGGTACCCAATGTGTAAACACAGGGGCAGTCTTAACATTTGTCACAGATCTTGTTAGAAAATCCAGCCCATTAGCTTGTCCTTCTACAAAGGAGACCATAAAGCCATAAATGCATGAGTAAGAATAGGCTATTCAGCCCATTATGTCTGTTCTGCCTTTCAATGGAATTGTGGCTAATCTGACAATCCTCACTTTCACTTTCCTGCCTTTTCCTGATAACCCTTGATTCCCTTACTGATTAAAAATCCATCCATCAGCCCTGAATGTATTTAATGATCCAGCCTTGATAGCTGTCTGTGTTTGAGAATTTCACAGATTCACAACCCTCTGAGAAAAAATTTATTCCATCCTTGTCTTAAATGCACGACCCCCTTATTCTGAGATTATACCCTAAGCCTTATTCAGGCCTCATTGAAAACATTGTCGAGTTATGCTTCCCTATCCAATGGATGATACAGAGACTGTATTTTTACCTGATATTCCCCTCCCCATGGTGTCCACATGCCCTTTCTGTGGGGTGGCTGAACATTTATTTTGAGGCAATACAGTTATGTGGATAGACTGGATGGATGCAAGAGTCTTTTCCTGTTTAGCTGTGCTATTTTAGGAATGAGAACATGCTGCTCTATAACCTCTGAGGATTGCTGTTTTTGTAGCAGCAAATTTTATTAAATGAATAACATGAGGCCAATATTCTAATCACCTTCAGATATAGTTCACTTGAAGCACCAACAAAAACAACAAGCTAAGATTACAAACAGCTGGTGGAATGAAAGTTACTTTCTTCATTCCTGAGAAATTAGCATCAAGGACAAGGCTAGCATTTATTGCTATTTCCCTAATTCCCCTCGAGAAAGTGCTGATGAACCACCCCCTGAAAGTGCTGTGCTCCAACCTTTTCCTGTCCGAGCTTCCTGAATATTCTGTTCCCTCCTAAACCCATGGCTACCTTTTCCACAACTCAGTCTTTGAATCTTTCCAATCACATTTCCTCTATGCCACGGCACTGAAAATTGGCTCGAATCAAAGCAATGAAATCTTACTCCCAGGTTGGAAATGCAAAGTTTGGGCATTTTCCAATGCCATAATGTGCCCTAGATGTTCAAATGCATTCTGGCTGAGTGGTGGTGGCAATGCTGAGGGGTACCTCAGTCCAGCTATTTCTGGGAGTCATGGTGGGTGACCTGGTAACAATATGGATGACACCAGGTGTAAAGGCAGCCTGGGCCAAATAAACCATAAAACATCCTGCAGACCTCATTACTGCACTCTCCAAGCCATCTCATGCCCTCCAAACAAACCCATGTACCATCAAACTCTCCATGCCAGACTACACCCAACCCACCCCCATAGCCCTCTATTACTACAATGTCAACATATGTCCCTCTACCCTCAGGGGAGGTGATGGCCTAGTGGTATCATCACTGGACTGTTAATCCATAGATCCAAGTAATTTTCTGGGGACCCGGGCTTGAATCTTGAGCACATGGTGGAATCTGAAATCAATAGAAAAAGGTCTGGAATTAAAGAGTCTAATGATGACCATGCATCTGTTGCCAAAAAACCCATCTGGTTCACTAATGTCCTTTAGAGAAGGAAACTGCCATCCTTACCTTGTCTGGCCTACATTTGACTCTAAACCCACAATGATGTTGACTATTAACTGCCCTCTGGGCAATTAGGGACGGGCAATAAGTGCAAGCCTAGCCCGTGATGTCCATATCCCATGAATGAATTAAAAAAAACCCTCATATCTCCTCATATTCTCCATGCCAACTACATCTTCTATCATCATCATGATCCTTATTGTCATTATGCCAACTATGACCTTCTACCAATTTGGTGGTTACTCATTACCCATATGCCAACACAAGATCCACTCACCACCTTATATAAATTATGCCTACTCACCCAGTATCCACCATGAGATCTCAGGATCCATACTGAGATTAATTAAAGTTCCTCAGTGTCTCTTGAATAATTCACTATTTAACATAAACACTATCACTGATAGAACCCTTTAATTATATTTAACCCCCTTTAATACTTTATAAAAACAGGCATTGTAATTCTTGTCCCACTTCAATATGTCTATAATTACCTGGAGCTGCCAATCAAACGATGAACTGAGAGACACCCCATTGTGATAATGGAAGGTTATACAACCTGTCAGACAGCATTAACCCAGTCATGGTAATCTTCAGGCTTTTGGAAACAGACTGAGTAAAAGAAAAAGTGCTTTTTTTTGGAAACAAAAACCACCATTGAGGGTTTTGTTCTTCAAATATTCAAAGACCAGGAGTTTTAAATGCCTCGACTGCTTAAATGTCTGGCTGGATCATTTAATATATTCAAATCCAAGTCGTGGTAATACTATGGCTTTAGGAGGTATTTTGTCCTGGTCTTTTTTATGAAGAGAGGTTGAGACAAATGTGGTGAGCATCCTGTTACAAGCCAATAAAGTAAACAACTTGTGAGACCTTGGCAACAAAAACAGAAGTTGCTGGAAAAGCTCAGCAGGTCTGGCAGCATCTGTGAAGAGAACTCAGAGTTAATGTTTTGGATCTCGTGAGGTTCTGAGGAAGGGCCTCTTGGCATTAACTCTGATTTCTCTTCACAGATGCTGGCAGAACTGCTGAGCTTTTCCAGCAACTTCTGTTTTTGTTTCTGATTTACAGCATCTGCAGTCCTTTTGGTGTTTATTTTGTGAGGCCTGGTTTTTTTTTAAAGTTGGGACAATAGAAGCAGCCTGAATGGGTGGAGTCAGGCTCACACAGATCCCAGCCTTTTTCCAACAATTGTTTAGACACTTAATTCCAGGTTTTTTAAATTGAATTCAAATTCCACCATCTGCCATGGCAGGATTCAAACCTGGGTCCCCAGAACATTACCTGGATCTCTGGGTTAACAGTCTAGCAATAATATCACTGGGCACCACCTCCCCTTATCATTTTACTGACTTTGCCTTTTCCAAGGGTGTGTTAGTGGGATGTTACTATATTGGAACAGTTGCTGTTTAGTAGTTAATAATTTATTATTCTGTTCAGTTTTCCAAGAGAGTTATAGTTATATCAATTCTTCTTTCTTTTGTTTGTATTTTAACTGGGGGGTAGAATAAAGTGTGTTTTGCTTAAAGCCGAGTAGCATGACCAATCAAATTACATCTGGAACACAGCACCTTACACCTATCTTTAAATAGGGAAAAGTTAGGGTCTAGGCTAGCTCCTTGATATAGTTGAAGGGGGTTTGGTCTCGTCCATAACACGAAATAGACAGATTTTAATCACTAAGAGAATCAAGGAACATTGGGCAACGGCAGGAAAATGCAGCCGAAGATTATCAGATCAGCCATGATCTCATTGAATGGTGGAGTAGATTTGATGGGCTGAATGGCCTATTTATGCTCCTACAATTTATGGTCTAAGGTGCATGTATTTCTTACTTATGGGAACCAGTGGACACAACGGTGACCACCGCATAATTCCTCCATAATTTTCCTGATTGTCTGTAGGCTTTTACATTGTTAATGACCATCTCTTTCTTCAAAGGTTTCTTATCCATTGCTCCATAAATGTAAGTTGTTTTTAAAACAAAAAAGGCAAAATAAGGTGCTCTGGGATGTTTTATGTCTACCTGAACAGGCGGATAAGGCTTTAATTGCTGAACCCCCTGATTTTATTGGGGCACAAAATCTCTTGCGTGTCTTGTGAGCTAGACTTACTCATACGTTCACCCATGACATTGCTGGTAATGACAGCTGATAACAGAGTGGAGAGGCAAGTCAGACTAGTATGTTTTACTGGCCTTTACTTTTGGGGCAACAGGGCGTCTGAGACCTTAATAAAGAACTGTGCGATAAAGATGCCTTCCTAACCAATAAACTAAAGAGTTGAGAAATAAACAGTGAAAAGTTTGAGAAAGTAGGTTGAACTAAAGTGGGTGAATTCACTGTCAAACCAGATACAGAACTAAAAATTGAGCAAGGAGAAGAAAGATTAGATTAAGACAGAGAAAAGGGAGGTAGAAACATAAAGTAGATACATAAACAGGGAAGTGAGAGTTTGATGATTTTTAAATCTGCTAAACTAAACCAAACTTTAAAGACAGGCAGATTGGTGGTCACTGATAATTGGTAAAAAGGTACTTACACTGTTAAAGAGATGGTAGGAACTGCCGATGCTGGAGAATCTGAGATAACAAGGTGTAGAGCTGGATGAACACAGCAGGCCAAGCAGCATCAGAGGAGCAGGAAAGCTGATGTTTCGGGTCTGCACCCCTCTTCAGAAAAGAAGGATCCAGACTCGAAACGTCAGCTTTCCTGCTCTTCTGATGCTGCTTGGCCTGCTGTGTGCATCCAGCTCTACACCTTGTTATCTCTTACACTGTTAAATACTGGACTTAACTTTGGTGAGTTTTGTGGTGAATTAATCTGATAATGCTAAATTTCACAAAAGTCATGGAAAGAGGTCAAGCAAACATCTTGTTTTTACGAAGCTCCGGACTGAAATGTGAAAATTGTTCAGCAACTTGCAACAATCATAAATCACCTGCCATCTCGATTCGTGGAGTATCTTTTCATCAACACGGGGTACTGGCCAATTTATAATGAACAATGGTGAGTGTTCTTTACTGTCTTACTGTAAAATCAGTTCCAACATTTTATCAAAAAAACATTTTACAGGTTTATTTTAGTGTAAATTTCCCAACATCAAATGAGGAATTTACATGTTTATATATTCAAAAATAATATATTTGTACAGCCATTGTAATTTACAATGGTTTTGTGTGTCAAGCTTCACATCCAGAAATTGCTTGTTTTTGTTTATGCAGAGATTAATAACGTGTGACAATGAACAATTCAGAGAAGACTGGCATTAATAAAGGTATGATAAATTATTATGTTAATAACAGCAGGGTTTAAAATGAAAGGTTATATGTGGAAGGTACTGGTATTTATCTATAATGATGACAGGCTTTGGATTAAAGATGTTAGCACAAGATATCTGGAGATATAAACAGGCTTGTTAATCCACTCAAATATTTTAACTCCAAATCTGCAGCTCAGTTTTTAACTTTACTGTTAATTTTATTTTTTAACAGATGCTTAAATTTATATCTATTTATAAGAAAATAATTTATGAAAAATCATTTTTGTGTGATGATGTTTAGAAAATATTGCATCTGCAATGACATGATTATAAATGTGGCTTTTTTTCTCTAGTATCTCCGCAACCATCATTACAACTTCTTTTTCTTTCTCACTCCTTCTCTGTTATTACATTTGGTAATTGTCTTGCAGAGTAAGAGATCAATTTTAAGTTTACAAACTCAAACAATGGATGCTGAGAAATACGGCAAATGCAGATTGCATAGGTGTTAATAAAAAAGAGCCTTGAAATAAAATGCTTACAGAAAGACAACAGATCCCAGTATAGATTTTACAGCAAACATTTAGCATCTTTATGGTTTTTCAAAGCTATTTTGGTAACTACATACTTTAATTAATGTGAAACAAGTGATGGATGAAGGTAATTGGAAATGTTTTGAATCACTGAGATTGGATCATTTTGACATATTTTATTAATTAGCAAAGCAGACTAACCATTCAAGATTGACTGACTTTTTTAAAGTTCAGAAATTTCTCACTGTCGCTTTCTTGTCACTTTTCACTTTGATTCATGTTTGCTGCTTCTTTGGTTCAATTTGCTGACATTTCACATTGAACCAATAAGCAGTGTGACAAGTAGCAGAATAGTGGGATCAATAAAGCAAGACCAAAGTAAGGAATATTTACTAAAACAAATTGAACATATAAGTTGTGCACTCTATAATTAAGACTTGCCATTGGCTTTAAGCAGAAAGAAATGTAACATATTTCACCAACTGAGGAAGTCCCAAAATGTTTTATGGCCCATGAAGTACTTTATATGTGTAGTGACTGTTGCATTGTAGGGAATGCAACAGTTAGTTTCCACTCTTGCAAGATCCCACTAACCCAATCAAATAACGACCGGGGAATCTGTTCTAACAGTGTTTGCTGAGGGATAAATATTGACCAGGACAGCAAGAGAGTTCCAACATTTGTTTTAAAATAGTGCATTGGGTTCTATTGTAACCACTTGTTGAGTGGACTCTATAAGATCTCATTGGAAAGTAAACACATTGACTTTCTTGCAGTCATGAGATATCAGCCTAGATTTTTGTGCTCAAGTCAATGGAGTGGCTATGAAACCTCAAACTTGTGATTCTGAGCAGAGAGTGTAATCACTAAACTACATCTAATAAAAATTTTGACTTTATACATGTGTGTTGTTGCTCTGGGATTGATCACGATGAGTTGCAGTATGGTTTTTGTAACAATGGAGATATTATTACATCATTGTCACTATTTTAATAGACTGAAGATATCTTTTTAGTATTTGGTAGTGTGGAATTTTAATTAAACCAGTGTATGGAGATTATAATCTATGATTGTCCATTAAAGCATAAACTAGTGGCTATTTCATTCTTCGTGGGATGTGAGCATCAGCACCAAGGCCAGCATTTGTTGTTCAGCCCAATATTCCCTCAAGAAATCAGTGGTCACATTTCTGGCAGCAGTCCATGTGATGTTAAAAAGAGGGTGGGCAAAGATCTGTCAAACAGAATATAATGGCAGTAAATATGAAATTATCCTTTGTGGCAGGAAGAATGAAAAGGAAGCATATTATCTGGGTGGTGAGAGGTTACAGAGCTCTGAAATGCAGAGGGAAGTGGATATTCTAATGCAGGAATCACACAAAATTATTATACAGGGAGAGTGAGTAGTTGAGAAAGCTAATAGAAAGTTAGCATTTATTGTGTGGGAAATAGAATACAATGGTAGGGAGGTCATGTTTCAGTTATACAGGACATTAATGAGGCCATATGTGGAGTATTGTGTACAGTGTTAGTCACCTTATTTAAGAAAGGATGTAAATGTATTGGAAGCCATTTGGAAAAGAGTTACTGGACTAATACCTGGAATAGACAATTTGTTTTATAAGAGGAGGTTCGTAGGTCTAGGCTTGTATCTGCTGGAGCTTAGAAAAATATGAGATAACTTGATTGAAATGTAAGATCCTGAGGGACCCTGGCATAGGGTTAAAATTAAGGTTAGGATTAGGGTTAGGATTATGGTTAGGGTTAGGGCTAGAATTAAGCTTAGGATTAGAGTTAGGGCTATGGTTAGGGTTAGGTTTAGGGCTATGGCTAGGTTTGGGGTTAGGGTTAGGGCTATGGTTAGGTTTGGGGTTAGGG